GGGTCCTGGGGGGGTCCCGGTCAGTGGGAGGGGTCCTGGGGGGGTCCCGGTCAGTGGGGAGGGGTCCCCAGCCTCTGCAGGCGCCGCCGCCGCAGCTCGGCCGTGTCGGGGCCCTCGCGGGGCTCGGAGCCTTCGGCCGCCTCCTCCTCATCCTCGGCCGGGGCCGGCTCTGCCGGGACAGGGCACAAGCACTTGGTACCAGTTTAACCCAGCCCAGAACCAGTTTAACCCAGTGCAGCCCAGTTTAACCCAGCCCAGAACCAATTTAACCCAGCCCAGAACCAATTTGTACCAGTGCAGAACCAGTTTGTACCAGTTTAACCCAATCCAGAACCAGTTTGTACCAGTTTAACCCAGTGCAGAACCAGTTTGGACCAGTTCAGCACCAGTTTAACCCAGTTAAACCCAGTTAAACCCAGTTCAGCCCAGTTCAGCACCAGTTTAACCCAGTTAAACCCAGTTCAGCCCAGTTCAGCACCAGTTCAGCACCAGTTTAACCCAGTTAAACCCAGTTCAGCCCAGTTCAGCACCAGTTTACCCCAGTTTAACTCAGTTCAGCCCAGTTCAGCACCAGTTTACACCAGTTTAACCCAGTTCAGCCCAGTTCAGCCCAGTTCAGCACCAGTTTACCCCAGTTTAACTCAGTTCAGCCCAGTTCAGCACCAGTTTAACCCAATTCAGCCCAGTTCAGCACCAGTTTACACCAGTTTAACCCAGTTCAGCCCAGTTCAGCCCAGTTCAGCACCAGTTTACCCCAGTTTAACCCAGTTCAGCCCAGTTCAGCCCAGCCTGGGGCTCCTCACTCACCGCTGCCTCCGGGGGCTCCCGAGGGTCCCGGTGCCGGGGGCTCCTCCGGGGGGGTCTCACGGGCAGGGGGCGGCCGCCCAGTTCAGCCCAGTTCAGCACCAGTTTACCCCAGTTTAACCCAGTTCAGCCCAGTTCAGCCCAGCCTGGGGCTCCTCACTCACCGCTGCCTCCGGGGGCTCCCGAGGGTCCCGGTGCCGGGGGCTCCTCCGGGGGGGTCTCACGGGCAGGGGGCGGCCGGGGGGCGGCTAGATCGGAA